GAAAAAGAAGACTTATATGCAAATCAAGGCTAAAGACGTCACCGGAAGATGGCGAGCTTATCAAAAGAAGGGATCTAGAAAATCTCCAAGGTGTCACTGGGAGAGTCGGCTGCTTCAAAACGTAAAACATCATTGCTGATTTATTTTTGTCTTAAAACGTTGCATTTCTGCCCCTCCTTCCTCCCCGCACCTTATAATTGGCCCTCAACCTTTCGGGGGGTGGGTCATATGTCCATTACATTAGACTGAGTTTGAGACCCCTGTCCTATGTGGTGTTGGGTCATCTCAGCCAGTTCAGCGCTGAGGGTGTGCCACGTAGCTTCGTCTGCGCGTCACTCCGCTTCAGGCGGAAGATCATGTGACACGCTCTCAGTGCTTGCTCGACTCTGATGGCTCGTAGCATTGGCTGTGGAACATCTTAGGGTGGAGCAGAGACTATCGCGCCATGCAACTTTGTGACTAGAGGAATGGCTAATTATAGTCATGAGAGCTTAGGAAACACCGGGAAGTGGCTTATTGAGAGTATTTCGGTATCGCCGCAAAACCAATTAGGAATGCGCCATTTGCCAGTAAGAATGCCGGAAAAACAAATCCCAATGCAAGAATTGTGAATGTAATATACGCCGTCCTGTGTTTATAAGCTGCCAATCGCTATAGTGGTTAACAACGATGCTAATTGCCGGAAATAATACGACGCTTCCTTCTATATCACCGTCAATGCATGTACCAAACATTGAGCTTCAGAAGAGCACCGCGAAGAGGACGGAGCTTAGTGAGTGTGCTACGAGAGGTAACGGGTAACAGGATATGCACTGTGCGTGGGCTGACGTAATGTCCTCTTGACCACCAGCAGGTCAGTAGTCTTCAGGATCTACGGCTTATGCTTATATGCTATTTCTACTAAGGACTAAAAACCCGACGAGCTTTCACACAGAGGTGATGTTTTTAAAAGCTGCTATAACGTGGACTTTTATTTGTTGCTTCACGGCTTTGGAAGTATTCGCGCCACCAAAAGCGAAACAATATCATTCAATCAATTAACATGGCTTTGCTGCTAACAAAACACTAACATCGGCCGGACCGCTCTGTGGCATTCTAATGCTGTGTATAAAATATACTGAGCCCTGAAAGCCAAAGTGAACGAAACGGTCTAGAGCTTTCGAACAGAAGCCAATAGACTGATCTCACCAGCTAGTTTGAGTACGCCACCGCTTCCGACATGCATTGTGGGAGCTGTAGTCTTTCTGCACGCGCGACAACACTGCTGGAGGTCTGCGCGAGCAGAGCACGAGGCGGCATGAGCTCTCTCCGTGAACTGGCGTCTGCCTCCTACGAACTACAGTTATGGTGGCGTCAAGCATGCGTGGAACGCTTGTTGAGATCGGTCTATTCTAAGTGTGATAGTCCCAGCACATTCCCATCAGTATTGAAAGCATTTATTAAAAAAAGGAGTGCTTTGTTTTTTCCACAGAGCACACGGAAGCCAATCATTGTCCTTTACGGGAGCATTCTGTATCAGAAAAATGGCGTGTGCTTTGAATATTAGCCTGTGAAGATATCGCTGAATGCCCCAGCGTTGGGTTCGAACGTGATCGGTGCCCCATGACTCCCTGAGATTCATCCGGAATTGAGAGTGATTGGCCACGGCCGCTAGAATTTGGTTGCAGCTAGATTAACGTTCCACATTTTTTTTTAAGTGAAAGTGAACACTCAAGTTATGACACTGAAATGCTCGAACCCAAGAGATTTATTCTGTTTGGTCTGCTCTTGTTATCTTAACACATATTTAGTTATCTAAACTTACTGGAATCACAGATATTATCGAGGATTGACAAGCGTCTCATTTAAGTTTTTTCCTCGTGTTCTACCATTTCTTGAAATGGAAATGTTATTAAATCTGACTGAACTTCCGGTTGGAACCTTGGCTCGATTTCCGTCTGAATGCCCCGTTAGATTGAAAATGTTTTTATAGCAGAGCTGTGCCAAAGGTTCTCCATCAACAAGACTGGACTCGCAGTACCGGAATTTAATAGGTCTTCTCCTTATTGTCCCAGTCTCGAAGTTTTTTTCGAAATGTTTAGTGTTATCTATTTACTTGAAGAAAGGTTGACCACACGGTGAACTCATTGCAATTTTTTTTACTTTTTGAGGACTACCATAGCACATTTAAACCATTGTTTATGTCTGTCTTGAATTTCACGCGCATCTGAGATTTTTTCTGTGGCATCAATTACCAAAATAAACAAAAATTATCGTAATTCCTTCATTGTTAAAAAAAAGCTTTATGTTTGTAGGTTTATCCACCAGGATCCTAAAGATATAAGTATGCTTACATTTAATAGAGAATTATTCCCTTAAACGTCTTGAGTTGATTTTTATCCCAGGGAGATTGCGTTATCGGTTAAACCTCTTGACCTAGGATTCCATTTTTTATCTTTGAAAAGTAAATCTAGTAAAGGCTAGCTGAATCAGCTCTGGAGACAAAAGCCAAATAATTGCGTGGGCTTCAAGCAAGTGCAAAGAAGTTAGGTCGTGGTTGAAGGTTTGCCTTGAACGCCCTCTATTGAGTGTCCTCTCGCGTTCAAGAATATGTTTTGTTCTATAGCTATCATGTCTAAGCTAAATGCACAAAATTGGGCCAGAATTATTTATAAGAAAACGTGCGTAATCTCAGTCCACGCCCGCAGCACTTGTAGCGTCTCAAATTCCCATGAAATGACAGAAGATTATACAAGATTTTACATTATGAATGCGTGACTTGCGTCACACAACTTGTCGATCCATACCTACACTGGCTTACCCGAATTAACTCATTCAAAACACTCATTGGGTAGTGTTTTACCGAATGTGCACGCAAAACATGAACACAAGCACAGTATTTTACCGCAGCACTGTCTGTTTTACCATCCCACAACACTTGTGCCTGGAACACAGTGAAGGTTTTGGGCGCTTCGTCAAAACCTGAGAAGGCCGTGGTCCTACGTTTCAGCTCCTGGCTCAAAGCACCTTCCAGGACTCGGAGCTTCCGCTCTTAGCCTTGACAGCTTCCACTTCAGTAGTGGGGACGAATGGCATTCACTTGCAATATGAACACGTGATAATCCCTATGTGATGTATACCCTATCTCCACTACTGCTCTCACCTGTCCTTAAGCCAACGAGCGTTGGCATCTCCCAACTGTCGTTGAGCTGAACTAAGTTGTCCGGTATGACACTCTACATAGGCTTAACAACTCCAGTTAAGATGGGCGTCAAGGGACCCAGTTGAAACCGTGACAAAACCAGAAATGATGTCACATTACTTTTTTTTTTAAGCGCTGCAAATGAATTATATGTACTCTTTTCATTCATTACAACGTTTAAAACAAAATAAAAAAGTTTTCCTTGTTTTTAGAGTAAAGAAACAACAATCGAAACGTTTCACACGAATTCAAGCGAGAGAGACAACAAAAAAGTTTTTTTTTTTTTCGGCATTGACATCGCCATGACGGCCCTCGCCGAGTTTTGGCTTCCGCAACCTGCCATGATCTTCCGAGTATCAGCAGTGGTCCCGAATCATAGCTCTTCCGACAATTTTTTCTGCTACGATACCTGCTAGATACCTTTCCCAATCTTCCACAACAGTAAGTGCCTCGCTGCTGCTGGCCATGGGTGGCGATGCTGCGGACGCCGCCATCTTTAGCGCTGTGGAGGCGAGCCTTCATCAGTTACTTAAGGTAGGCCAGCCCAGTTGACCTCAATGATCGTCAGCGGATCAATGACAGTTGATGCCGCCGTGTGACTCCGGCCGATCGTGATTGAGTCAACTGTCGTTGACTTAATGACAGTTAAGAGCAGAAGTGTAACTATGGTAGTACAGGAACCACTGGACGAGCAAAGTACATGTCCACACCAGTGATGCTGGAGTCCCCCTAGAGCGGCGAACGGAAACAACCGACACCGAGAAGCCCCAAGCACGTGCAGCATCCGTGAGAAGGTACCTTCGGCAGGTTTGCAATTATGGCTGTAATCAATGGGGCAAATGAAGGGTCAGATTTTGCCCGGCAACACTCGCTCTGTTCGTGACGTCAGAAGAGCGACTGTTGCATTACGCGCAATGCGTGCGTGAGTCTCTAAGTAAAGGTCGTCGGTCCTTCGCCGCGTATTCGGTTCCTAAAGTTGAACCTTTTTTTTTTTTCAGCTTCTTGGCGAGGACCGATAGACTTCAAGCCTGCCAAAGGTCCTTTCGCGTGTATGGCGCACGCGCTTGAGGTTGTATCGGTGTCGGTTTTTTGTGTTCGTCGCTCTAGCGGGACAAAGTCTCTGGGTCTTGGGAAAGTAGCGCCATTGACTTCCCTGCCGGCTAACGAGACACAAACATGTACTATCATACAGACGTCCAAATCAACGGTCTCTGTTGCCATGGCAGTCGTCATTTCGGTCCTTTCGAGTCTTCGATGCTTCGAAATTGAAGTTTTGAACCAGCCGAGTCAAGATCGCTATGAAGAGTCACCGTGCTGAAAGCGTACTTCGCCACCATAAGCGTCTGTGGCATTGCGTATGCAATCAACTTATAAACCATGCTTATATGCACAGAACTCTTACTTTGATATTTTTTTCCTTGCGTATTTTAAAACTGGACAATTATTTTTGCAATTCCATCAAGCACTAACGCCACACGCGAAGGCGGTGAGATGTGCTCTCGTTTCGCCGGTGTGAGGATAACAAATCACAGTATAATATAAAGGGCTTCATAAAGCATCTAGTCTGCGCCAATTTGAATCGGATCAGCAAAAGAAGAAAGAATACTTCAGCGGAACTATAGGGCGTCGGTAATTTTCGAGACGCGTAGAGACTGTTCTTCTTGAGTTCGTGTCAATGCTTATTAATACTTACACTGAGACTGTATAAGTGTCAGTACAGGTTGGTCCTGTAGCAGGGCGCCGCGGTGTGACACATCATATCCGCTCGCTGTCGATGCTCAGACGTGGGCTCGCGTTTTGCTTCACAGTACAAAGTGCATCACGCGCATAAAACATAAAAGACCCAGTAGAAAGTGTTGAGAACAATGAAGCTAGTTGGAAAGACGATCCTTGAAATCTTGTCAATGAGCAGCGCTCTTAAACGACCTTGCTGTTTCCGAGTGCGATCTTCGCTGCCCAGGGAGTTGGTCGAGTGTAACTGTAGAAGAGAAAAGAGAAAAAAGGCGGGGAATTGTGTTGGCATTTGGATAAGTCTTAGCTGAATTGTCAAAATAAAGTAGTTGCGGTGCTTTAACCTAAATTCAATTTCAGGTACACAACCTTTGACCTTTTTCAATAGTCGAATACGCCGACGTTGTTAAAAAATTATAAGCCTAAAATAAATCAGATGTGACTTTTGCGGCTTAGGCACACTGGCAGTGGCATCGGAACAGCCCCCCCCCCCCCCCCCCCCTGTTCCTATGCCCCATCGAGCTCACAATTTAAAAAAAAAAGTGCATGTAAACAATACGGAAGACGGGGAGAAAAATCTCGCTCTTCGTTTCCCACCACCGCCACACCATCCCCCCCCCCCCCCCACACACACACACAAACACACGCACACACACTGACGGAGGGGCTTTAGCATGGCAGGAGCCAGTGCACCGATCTCACAAGTCAGTATGGCTACTCCACCCCTACCGCAATGCGTCGAGGGGAAGGCTTTCTGCACGTGCGACAGCCTCGCTAGAGCTCTCCGCGTGCAGAGCAGGAGGCGGCACGAATCGTCTCGGGCCAAGAACTAAAGTTATGGCGGCTTTACGCATGCGCCGAAAGCTTGGTGAGATGGGTCTATTCTTGTCCGGTAATGTAGCGAAACGAAATTTATCCTTGCTGTTCTTCGTCATTTTGTTTTCAAGATTCGGTGACGTAACTGAAAGTCCTTTAAGTTACTATAATCAAGGTCGCAAAAAAAAAATAGCAGATGCTTTGTTTTTGGCGCCAGCTTTGTGCCTTTGGAACACTGTATTTTTGGTAACACTTCTTCGCACGCACAGCCGAAGACCCGGCGGAAGGCAGTGAGCGCGCGCTGGAAGCAGAGCAATACTTAATATTTAGCTTCTTAGTGACCATAACAATGCCAAAACAACGGTAAGACATCTAAATACCCTACAGTTCCTAACATGCTATGCGGAGTGCAAGCTCGTCTGCTTCTTTTAGAGGGGCTATTGTTGGCCACAGAACGCAGAGGTCCGATTGGCTCTGAGTGAAGGATAGTGGGCGGACGTCAAGGCAGCTTGCTTTGAGGTCTACCCACTATCCTTCAGTCAGAGTCAAACAGAGCTCGGCGTTCTGACGTCACCACAGAACAGAAAAGGTTCTAGAACTTGGCTGAGAGCGGGAGTACCGCAAGGTTCTATATTGTCATCTTTATTATTTAACATTTATGTACTCTACTCTTTATCAGTATGCGGGTAACACCCTGCTTTTATCTCGCCATATAATATAGTATCGCGATAGTTATGCTACAGGATGACGCTATGCACTTGATGAATTGGTTTTCGGAGAACGTTATAAGTATGAATTGCTGAAAAACAAAACCTGTCTTGTTTTCAAACCCGCTAAGGGGTGTTTGCCCAAGTAGACTTTTTATTTCTTTATGCATACTGTCGACTGTCAGTTGGCAGCCAAAAGAGGACAGGGCATAGACGCCTCGGTGGCCGCCGCTTAGCCTCGGAGCCATCATCGGATCCCCAGGTGGCGGGTTCGAATCCCGGCCGAGGTGTCCACAATCTGACGCAGGCTTATTGCGGACAAGGCGCTGTATATCCGAGCCTTCGGTTGCACGCTAAAGGATCACCAGGTGGTCGAAATTAATCCTCAGTCCTCCGCTGGGGCGTGCAAGATGCACGCCTTTGGTTTGTCACGTAAGACCCCCCAAATTTGACAGGAGAGGGCATAAAGACCATACTCACAAAAAAACCTAGTTACATACAAATGAAAAAAAAACAACATGCGATTGCATATCTGAGAAATAGCACTAACGCTCCAGAAAATTCCTGAACGGAGGATACATGGGTAATGTTGGTGGAAAGATTATTCCATTCGTTATTGATGCGCGCGAAAACGTAGTTTTTAAGCATTGAGTTTGGCTGTAAAGCACCCTTGATTCTGCATTGAGCAAATTGTACATTTGTTCCTGTTGAATATGTTTGCGGTGTTAAGTACATGAGAATTGTGTTCGATTCTGATTTATCCTGGAACATTCAGATGGCAAATACTTTCAAAAGAATGAGAAAAAGTATCTTATCTACTGCATCCTATTAAGTTGTTTGTCCCGATTCCCATTAGGATACTTATTAGGCAAACGTTGGGATACAGCATTTTAAGATGCTGTATCCCAATCCTGTCCCAGGCGATGGCATAGCAAGATTGATGGTGTCTTTAAAGAAATGCTGAGAAGCGTAGCTTACAACTCGGAGTTTCTTGCAGAGGACAACTTGTTTAAATCGCTTCAGTTGCCTAAATTTGTGGAAGCTATTCAGGCACACCATCATCTCCTGGCGCTCCTGGGACAGCTCCTTTAAGAATCCCAAGTGTGTGCCTAGGTCTTTTAAAAACCATCAACAGTTTGAGGTTCCCAGAAGAAGAACGCCTTATAGGGAAAGTGTGAGATCATTTTATCTACCAAAGATATTCAATGAGCTGCACGAAGGGCTATATATAAAAGTCTATGCGAAAATTACAAAGTAAAAAAAGTTCTCAAGTGTGTTTGCTAAGGCCCATCTCACGAGAGAAATAATTTTATATTATTTTTTGTTTCATGTGATGTTTTGTGTATCACTGCTTTAGATTTGTTGTTAGTGTGGTATCATATACTGTGAGTAATCATGTTGAATTTCCTTTTTTTTTAATTGTGTGTATCCACAATCACGAATTTTAGCACTTCTGATTTTCTGTTTGACTCTTCAAGTTCAGCATGCTCATAAGGGTGGTGTTCATCATACAAGCACTAGATGTCTTTGATGGGCCGGTGTCAGTGTCTGGTTTTATGTGTTCGTACAATATTATTAATAAATAATAACGGTCATAGTAGTATTAAAAATAATCAATATTAATTTACATAGTAATAATAATAACAATTATTATCATTAGTAGTATCATCCTTTTTATTATCACGTCCTCAAGTACTGCATTGAAAAACCCGAGCAAGGTCTTCAACAAACACCGATGCTGATAGTATCGGTAGACAATCAACTAAACCCCCTCGTTTTCCGCAATAAATTCGACAACGGCCACTCAACCAGAGACTAAGGGGATGACGTGGACGCCGAAAGATTCCAGACAGTCATGCGAAAGAAAAGGGTCAAGCCTGCAGAAGGATGGAACACAGTCAGCAAGCTCAGCTCTGTGCCGTGCCAACCAAGACGTCGAGCGCTCCCGGATGAATCCACTTACGATTGAATCGTACATCACGAAATTCCTGGCCGGTGTTCTCAAAGGCAAGTCGACAAAGTGCGCCAAGCTTGCCACTAAACACCATAGTCATACCTCTTTTCACGTATCGGTCAGGAACGATGACTTTGATGAAATTAACACTCCTGACATTTTGCCGACAGGGTACCCTTTTCGCCCCTTTTTCGGCATCCTTAAAAAAACCTCCGACACTTCGGTCGATGTAAACATGTTATCAGGTACAATATAGTGCACTCTATATTACCAGAATGTCCGTGGTCTTAGGACGAAGTCATCCAAGTTCCTGTCTGGAGTGATAATTCATTCATACACCATTCCATTGTTTGCCTTACTAAAACCTGGCTAGAGGACACTATCTTCAGCCCTCAGTATTTTCCCCAGGGTTATTCAAAATGTCGGAAAGACAGTGATTTTTCCGCCAGGAGACAGCGATATGGTGTAGGTGTTTTAACGGCCGTCAACACTTCTTTGCGCGCATAAAGAAGGTTCGATCTTGAGTTGTGCTCGGAATGTGTACGGGTCGAGGTGACGTGCCGTTATGGGCTTAAATATTTAAAAGGGAACTACTCGTTTCTGCAACACATTAAGTCGGACGTTTTCGCACATCATTTTTAAATTTAGAAGATAAAGCTAGACGTGACAAAGTTTCGTGTGCACAGATATGGGGATTTTAGTCTACCTGGAATCGACTGGCTGTTTGGTGATAACTCGTTGACGAGTGATGTCACCAGCCGGAAAACATCGAGCTTGTTTGACTATCTATTTTAATGAGTTTTAACAACGAAATATTATCCAGAATTCTGCGGAAAATATACTCCATCTCGTATTATACTCCAATCAAATATATTTTGCCAATCACTGACCCCTTAATACGCGTTGACCATTTCCATCAGCTTTTTTTTGTGTAATTTTGCTTTCCGCTGCGTCAACGGGCCCTATGCAGCTACGCATACTTCCTGTACAGCAGTGGCGATTACTTCAACAGGTATAGGTACTTCCAGTGCCATGACTGGAAACCGATCCTGAGTGACGATGGCGCTGATTAAGACGCTGAGGCTCTCTTACAGAAGTAGTCCCGAGTTTCATGGGGTTCTTCACCTTTTTATACGTGTTTTATTATCGACTGTACTTAATTTGAACTCAAGTGAAAGCACAGTCAAAGGTTCGAACACATACAAACACCGATATAGATTCTAAAAGCGCAATTCACCGGGCACTCATTCAGCTATATTTTGTTTCAGCAGATTATAGAACATGTCGATAAAGTACTAGAGTCGGCTGCGCCGGACTTCGGGTGAGACGAAGTATGAAGTAGTCAAGTGCAGCAAATAACCCATGACTTGCACTTTTATTATGTGTGTCCATGGAAGTGTATGTGTTAAAGCCATCGACTACGCCAATGAAAAAAAAAAAAAAATAATGGGTAACATCTTGCTCCAAGCCAGCGTCTCATGACGATTCGCAACTTTCACGACCTATAGGGGGCGCACTGGCGTTCATTAAAATGGCTGACATCTGGATGATCGTCGTCTCTGGTATATATTGTAGTAAGCTGGATCGCGGATCGGGAGCCCGTCGGTGTCGCCACCGGCGGCCATTGCTCGACACCAGGCAATATACGCAAGTATATGGGAGAAACGCACACAAGTAAGAATATTAAAGCATGAACGCTGTGCACAGAGGCGAGCATTTTATGGTGTGCTGCGATCTTGATACGGGCGTTTGGGGTGCAAATCAAACGTA